CTCGGGATGCTCCTTTACTTACTTACTTAGGGATGCTCCTTGCCTGCCTCGGGATGCTCCTTACTTACCTCGGGATGCTCCTTGCCTACCCCGGGATGCTCCTTTACTTACCTCGGGATGCTCCTTGCCTACCCCAGGATGCTCCTTTACTTACCTCGGCATGCTCCTTGCCTGCCCCAGGATGCTCCTTGCCTGCCCCAGGATGCTCCTTTACTTACCTTGGGGTGCTCCTTGCCTGCCTCGGGATGCTCCTTGCCTACCCCGGGATGCTCCTTTACTTACCTCGGCATGCTCCTTGCCTGCCCCAGGATGCTCCTTTACGTACCTTGGGGTGCTCCTTGCCTGCCTCGGGATGCTCCTTTACTTACCTCGGGATGCTCCTTTACTTACTTTGGGATGCTCACCACAGCCTGGGACAGAGCCTCCTCGGGGAGCGCAGCACTGAATCCCCATCCTTTAGGAATAACGCCATCCCTTTCCCTCCTACGGTGAGCTCCTGTTCAACACCTGCTGCTCAGGAGCTGTGGTGAGGAGCGGCTGACGCAGGGCGCATGGCACCCAGGCTGTGGGGTGCTGCTGTCCTTGCTGGGTAGGGGCAGCCGGAGCAGCACCCATCAGCCTGCAACCTGGGATGTTTCCCCAAAAAATGCAGCCGGTGTTATCAGTGATGTGGCAAGAACAACACCATTTGGGTGCAAAGACCGGGTTTTTCCTGGGTGAAATCATAAATTCCTCTTCCCACCGGCATTCGGTGGGTTGTTCCACGTAGGGCCCTTAGAACAAGCTCCGCGTGAAGCTATTTTAGGGAGATGGTGGACAAGGGCACAAAAAGTTGGTTAAAAGCAAGCTGCAGCTCTTGCAAGGGATTTCATGTAAGCTCTTGTTTGCCTGCTGTAAACAGCGGATGCCATGGTGGCCAATCCATGGGCAAACAAAATGTACGGCCTGTAGCCCTTGTGCTTTCAATTGAGATTTTGTAGAGATAAGTGAGCACAAACATGCACGATCTCGAACGCCGTGAACACCTTGTGTACTTCCTCTGCCTCGTACTTACCAGGACAATGTCCTCTACGTTTTCTTTGACTGCACAGCAACGCCCGTTTCCCCCCTCGATGTGGAATCGGCAGGGTTTTTTCTTCTTAACTTTTTTTTCTCCCCACACACCTTTGCTCTAAGCTGAAGGTTATTTCTCCCTCTTTTCTCATATTTTACTCGGATCACAGTTCCTATGCTCTGCTGCACCCATATGATGCTGCATAAATTGTCTGCACTTACCTAAGTAAACCACCGACTGAAATTATTCAAAGCGAGGCTATTTTTGTCTGTTGACTCAAGTATTTTGGGGACAGTTTTGCTGTCAGCAGGCGAGCTGCCTGAAGGATGTTTACACAGTCACTGGGCAATTTCAGTTTATTGGAAGGCAGAGCATTTACTTGAAGAACCTTGGTGCTGCGATTGCTCATCCTTGCAGTTACTAATCACCTACGGAAGGCACCGCATGAAGTGTCTCTGTGTAAAGCTGAGGCTCTTAGGTATTTCACGTTCGCATCAGACACCGGTTCGCTTCAAAAACATGGAATGGATCCCACCTTGTTATATAAAAACAGCTGGAAATAACTTTTTTCGTCTTTTTTTGTATTAAAATACACGTAGCAAAGACTACGCTGTGCAATGCATCCCCATGGAAGTGCCCTTCTATCCAAGAGGGCATGAAAAGCAGCCAGGATTTAAAGTTTCACTTCACAGTAGTTGGTTTCCAATATGGTACCACGTCGGTGAAGCAGCAGCAGCCCTGCGACAGGTCAGCAGTTACGGAAAGGCCTCGGTGCATTCATTCCCTCCTGCAGCATCTCGTATGTTCTCGCTGCTCCTCTAGTTCTGCAGCGGAAGGGTAAGAAAGGAAACAGTCGGTAAAGCTGGTCGCACCTTGCATGGGAAAATGCTGACCGTACGTTTGTAACCGTAACTTCCAGTCATGGAGTGTGGGTTTAATCTAGGCACGGCAAGGGTGCGAACCGACTTTTTTGAGCAATCCTGGGGAGTTCTGAACATTCCAAAGGCTGTTTTGTTTGGTTGTGCTACTAACGGCGTGGTTACTGCGTGCGTCTGCAGCTTCGCCCGTCGGTGTAGAGTTCAACAGCCATAAACAAGCTCTGCGTCAGGGCTTTCCTTTGGGAAAGCAGTCAGCGGAAATTGTAAGATTGCTCGTTCCCATGGGCTTATCCAAAATTTGGTGCGTAATGCACAGCTCTGGGAATCTTGAGACTGTGTTAGTCATCTGGGATGCGATCAGTTCATTTGGATTTGTGGTCATCCGGACTCACTGAGCACAGCCTTGCTGAAGAGCAGCAGATGGTCCTCAGGGGGTACAGAAATGGGGCTGCTCCTTCCAAAAGAGGCTTCAGGATTTTGGGAGAGCGTGGGCTGTGCTGGAGCATGGCTTGTGATCCATATCTTGGGGAGAAGTAGCACGAGGGGTACTGATGGTTTGTTCTTCTTCGCAATAAGGACTTGGTTCTGGGCTTGCAGGAGTTCTTTGGGAGGGAAGTGAGCCAATATTTCTTTTTCTAAAGTGCAGAGTTGTCTGTTTTTAAAGCACCTATAACTGTCATTCCTCTAGTTCTTGTCCCTGTCCCTAGGGAGAACCATCTAAAAATCAGCTGCTGCTTCAGATAGTGTCTGGAGAGTGACAACTTAGCAACGTTAGCAGAGAATGTTAATTAGAAAGGAAACAAGCGTTCTGGATATTCTGAGATTGTAAAATAGCAAAATACAAATATCTACGAATGACTTTCCCACTTTTTAGGAACTGGTAAAAGGTATTCATTTCTCTATAGGGAGCAAAATGCTGTTTGCATGGATTGTGCCCGCAGCAATGTGGTGGTTGTCGCACTTTGCAGCAGGTAAGATTTTTTTTTTCTCCCTACATAGCAATTATCACTTAAAAGAAGCACTCAGGCTAATTGGTTTGGGGTTGGGGTTTTTTCCAGCTTCTGTAGGATATACCAGCAAACATCTTTCATATTAGAGAGAGCAAAACTTGACACTTGATTAGGTTTATTTCCGTAAGAACTCCCTGACCCACTGCTACGGCTCCCGTGCTGCAGAGCAATGCACCTTGACGGTCTGGCAGGCTGTGGGCAGCAGCGTCTGCTCCGGCAGCGCTCCGCACACTGGCAGTGACCATGGGCAGGGGCACAGCCCCAGCTCTTGACAGAGGAGGCAAATAGAGTCATAGATGCCCAGGCACCGGCAGCTTCGGCACATGCTTATGCAGAATCGGTGCCTCGAGCCTGTCTCGTTTGTGTGCTGAGGGTGGCGTAGAGAGAATAGTTGCAAATAAGTTATGCAGGGAGGCCGTTTGGTTGAGTTCAAGGTAAAGATGTTGGTTGGCTCCACAGTTGGCTCCCACAGAGGCTGTCGGAGCTCACAAGGAAGGAGAAACGGTGCTCCGGTGATTCCCCTTTTCTTCCGTTCACCCCCAGCGCGAGTGTCTTGGAGCCTGGCACAAGTGATGGTGGGTGCTGAGCACAGGGTCCCCCCCGCACGCCCTGTACCACTTAAAAGATGGTGACACCCAAGGGCAGGTCTCTATGGAGAAAACACTGCTTGCCTCTCCAGGAGAAACATGCTGCCACCGCTTTACTGACACGTGGAGATTTCCTTAGAGAAGGAAAAAAGAGTCCTGGCAGGTTTTGCTTGGGGTTGTGCCCTTTGAATGATGCCTGGCAGTGAGCCCTTGGTGTCTGATCCCAGTTAATCCGGTTGGTGAAGGCTGGGCACAGCGATATCCCAGGGGTTACCATGCAGAGGCAGGAATCCTTGCATTACAAACGTGGGGAGACTCTCCGGGCGATGGGTTGGCAGTAAAGGTTTGTTTTCCCGTTCTGTTGCAGAAGCATGCAGCAAAGGGAACGCGCCTGCTAGCAAACCGCCCCACGGCGCCGTGGAAATATGTGCCAAGGGGAATATGACCACTAACACCACCTCTCACGTCCGGCCGGGAACCAGCATCACCCTCTCCTGCCAGCTGAAGACCCAGGAATACATTAAGCAGTGCAGTATAGCTATTTTCTTTAACAGCTCTGAACTAATTAGAAATGACAGCAGTTCAGTAAGGACCACGTTTCTAGTCCATACATATGGCAAACACATATTTACGTGCAAAAGGCATTGTAAAGGCAGGACAAAACTCATTTGTGGAATCGATATAGAATCTGGAAGTAAGGAGAATTTCATTATTCTTTGTTCTTAAACATTTCCTTTGGTACCTCTGAGATACGTTAGAAACTAGCAGCGGGTGGTCTTTTCCAGAAAAGGTGCTGTCTTTCAGTGTCTCTCTTTATTTAAAATATTCCTGGCTGTGACCGTAAAACTCTGTTATAGATAAACGGAGAGATGCCTACCCAGAGCGAACATCATACTCTCCTGTTCTATCCTGACACCCACTAGTCTCTCCAGGACACGGGTGACTTACAGGAAAAATTTTAAGTCAATTTTAGATTTTCTTCAAGCCTGATGAGCTGCTGCTGCTGCAGCCATCATGTGCTGTATCAATGCTGCTTTTATTTTTAAATAAAAAAGGAAAATGGTTGATTTCTTCCAGGAAAGCTTGTGGTGCCCAGTCTGGACAGCTGTTAAGCACTTGTGTTCATCTGGTACCCCTGTAAAGACGCTGGGGTTTCGCTCAAGTGTCTGAGGTCTCCACAGGCTGCAGAGATCATAGACTCAGTTGTTTTCACATATAAAGATTATCAGCCTGAATATTTTTGCACTCACTTGTCCATAAACTCTTAAAAAAAAAATCAACACAAACCTAGCATTTCCTATCAACACCTTTAAGAATGACTCTGATGAGAATATCTGTTTAAGATCCTCCAGATGAGCCAAGGAACGTGTTGTGTATCCAGCACGGGACGGATGGCCATCCCACCTGCTCCTGGGAGAAAGGCAGGCTCACATACATCAACACTGTATACGTAATACAGTAAGTAACGCAGGGATGCAGGTTCCTTTATACCTGTAATTGTATCTTGAAGGGGTTTTAACATTTTTACACCATTTACTGAAGATTTACCCTTACCATGAAAGAGCTGGTTTATGAATAAATCAATCCAAGGCTGCCAAGAAAGCAGGTGCAGCACTTAACCCCCTTTTTTTGGGCACCTCTGTGGGTGCTGCTCCGCAGCAGGTTGGCTGCTTCTAGGTTCAGCGGATAAAGAAGGTATGGCATGCCACAGCTCCCGTTTGGAAAGGGAAGGTTAGTAGGGGAAGGGGCCTTAAAAACAGCTGCTCAAACCTGCTGTTTTCCTCTGTTTAGTGATTCTGTGGTTAGCAGTGCCTGCACCAGGAATCCTTCGGTCAGAGCTGCTCACTTTCTCCCAGAGCTTAGCTAAGGAGACGCAGAGGGACTTTGCTCCAAAATGTGTTATTTTTGTTTCCCGTGTTAGACCCAACCTGTATTTTTACTCTTTCCAGTTTGGCTGAGCCTTCCCTAAAAAAGATTGCGGAGACTTCCGCAGCAAACTGTGGGGAAGGAGCAAAGCTTCCCTAGAGCCTGAGGAGAACTTTGGATTTGGGGAATCATTGTGCATAGGAGGAACCTTATTAAAAATTCCTATTCAAGCAAACTTGTAGGTAGAATGAATTACCTTTGCCCTTTGCAAACCACTGGGTAGGCTGAACTCTTACCCATTTGTTTCTGAGGTGCTGCATGTCGTTACCATCTCATTACCTTGCGAGGCTCACTCTTCTTCACCACCTTCTTCACCTGCTGTGTTGACCAAGGTAGCAGCAACCGTCTCAGTAGCTTGTAGAAATCTGTCACTGCTCTTCAAGCAGAAGGAGAATATACAAGGAATGAGTAGAAGAGTAGGAAAACGTGGATAACGAGTCCTCAAAGTGTTGTAACGGTACGCAGAGATATGGCAGTGCTTGCCAGTAAGTTATTAAGTATATTACAAACTACAAAAGGTCGGCCTGAAGCAACATGATATAAACATCTCTGGTTCAGGTGGAAGAAAACACACAGGGAACCCCAGTGAGTTATCCAAGGCAATGGGGTGAGTGGCAGATGAGAATTAAAAGTTGTGTTTGAAGTCATGCGGTCTGACTGTTAGACTGCAAATAAATCACATTTTAAATCACAAACTTAAGTAAAAAAAAACCCAAAACAACAAAAATAAACGCCTAAATCTGTCACCTCCCCCAGGTCTGTGTGCCAACACCCATTTCACAGAGAAATGTCAGGTAATCAACATTAGGTAAGCATTACGCCATGAAAGAGGACCTACTCACTCGCAGCTCAGCAGAAATCCAGAACAATTTCCTTTATCTGCAATTTAAACCAAAAAGCATTATAACACCTTTCCTACCGCTTTAGCTAGAGGAGTATTTACTGTAACCCCTGTGTTTAAACAGAGAAGGTAGGTCTTCCAAAGAGCGGATGGCCTGGCTGGCTTTCAGGCAGCGCTCCTCCCGTGAAACTCACCTCGAGGGACCCGGAGCGGCACAACGGGGACACGAGCCGTGCTCCCACGCGCCCAGGGTTTAGCTTTCCGGGTGTACGGGAGGGTGTTAAGCCGGCGTTTTCCTTCTGTTCCAGGCTATCAAACGGTACGGATGTCCTGTGCGTTTCAGAAGGAAGCCTGAATAAGAAGTTTGGCTCGCTGGCTCTGAGCAAGTTGAATTTTGACTCTACTTACACCGTTGTGGTTGCCGCCTTCAATGAGCTAGGGAGCGCTTTCTCACAGCCTCTCGTGTTCACGTTAACTGACATAGGTACACACGTTTCCTACTGCCTTTCCCTTAGTCCCAGCCCTCTAGAAAGACGGGAAAGCATTTTGAGCGCTTTCTTGTTCAAACCTCCCAAAAAAATCATTCATCCAGGCCAAACCAGTAATTCTATTTCCCATGTGACACCCCCCCCCCTTCGAGCTCTGCTGCGTATCTGAGCGCTGTTTGCCTGTTTCTGTTTTTGCTGCTAGTGAAACCACATCCTCCCAACTTTTTGGTGGAATTTGAAAGTTCTTCTGTGACCAATTGCACCATTTTTTTGCACGACGAAGCACAAGGGCAGCACTGCAGGCTGAGATACCGTCCACTCACCAGGCACATCTGGAGCACGGTAATCCTCTTCTGAAGAGTAAAGGAAGTTATGATGATCCTTTGGGGTTGCTTTAATTATTTTTTCATTATTTCTTACTAGAATCAGTTTGTCCAAATTTGCCTCTCTCTGCTCTCTAACATCATATTTAAGAAAAACTATTGTCTACGGGTCAAAAGCTATCATTGGTCTGAAACTGAATGAAGTTAAAACACTGATCCTGTAAAAAACACCCACAAACCTGTGTGCGTGAATAGTTCCCCTTATGTCAGGTGTTGGTATGATGCACTTAGGAATCAGAGCTTACGTTTGAGCCAACATTCATTGAAATATGGTTGTACCTGCTCAGTGTAGCTCACAGCTACAGGTGTGCCATTTCCAAATATTTGTGCCTTCCCCAACGTCGATTGGAAGCCTTTGCTTTTAAATGGTAAAATAAATGTATGTCTTGAAGTCGAGTAAAGCAGGTGAACAGAAAATTTGTTATCTTTGCATAATTCAATGAGGGTTTTTTCGGATGAAGAACTGCAAAGCGTGATGATTCATTGCATCATTCTTTGAGTTTACTATCTGACTTGCCTCAGATCAGGGGTTTCCCTGTTGTTTTTTAAAGACTTGTTTTGGCTGGCTGGCCTGCCTTTGGGCAGTAACTCAGCCTGTCACTGCCTTCCACCTTGACTTCCTCATGAGCTCAACATTGTATGTCCTTTATCTTCATTAAAGGTTGAAAGCTTCAACAGTGAGAAATGCAGTCTTTACGGTCTGGAGCCGCATACATCCTATGAGTTTCAGGTCAGCTGTAAAATTCACCCTGAGCGAGGACATTGGAGCAACTGGGGCACGTATCAAACCCAGACCCCAGAAGCAGGTAACGCCAGATGGCATAGACTTATAGTATGGTTTGGGAGGGAAGGGACCTTAAAGATCATCCAGTTCCAACCCCCCTGCCATGGGCAGGGACACCTTCCACTAGACCAGGTTGCTCCAAGCCTCATCCAGCCTGGCCTTGGACACTCCCAGGGATGGGGCATCCACAGCTTCTCTGGGCAACCTGTCCCAGTGCCTCCCCACCTTCTGCGGGAAGAATTCCTTCCTGATGCCCCATCTCAATCTCCCTCTTTCCGTTTAAATCCATCTCCCCTTGTCCTGTCAAGGCATCTCCTGCCCTAAGCCTGTGCCTAACCTTTGCGTACAAGGAGAGGCTTCACCTAATGACGCCAAACCGCTGCTGGGTTTGTGCCGGTTGGTTTGCTGAGCCTCCGCAGCTGCGGACTCAGAGCCAAGAGGAAGTAACTGCTCTAACAGGATCACTTTTTTAATGAACAAACAAACGAAGCTGTTCGCGTTTCTTGCAAAACGGGAATTTCAAGAGTTCACTGAGAAGCTCTGGAGGATGATGCGTTTGACGTTGAAGGTTGGAGGAACTTCTTCTGCGTTGCCCAGAGCCGTAGCAGCGCATCTGGAAAAGGCAGAGATCATTGTGCAGTTTAGCTGGGGAGAGAAAAATATTGTGTTGGTTGATATCTAAGCATTTTACTGAATTCCTGCAACAACCCTGTGCTGAGGCTGGGTTGTGTGCTGTGGTACCCGCTCGGGGCGTTTTTTTTGGGTGACACGCTCTGCGCCCGACGATTTGCTGAGAAATGGGGTGAATTGGCCAGGAAACTGCCTGAACTCTCTCAGCTCCGCTGATGCTAACAAGTTTTAACAGAAAAGTTTAATTTTGCCCAGTCATCTTTTCCCAATTAGAGAAATGATTTCACTGGGAGCCTCCCCACACCAGGTAGCTTCAGCAGAGGAGAACCTGGCCAGGTGTTCGGGAGAAGGACGTCCCACCAGGAATTGGGTGAGCCCAAAGCGTTTTGGCTCCAGATGGCACAGCAGACTCCAGGGACAGGCAGCACCAACCCGAGGCCAATCCTACGAGTTTCTGCCAGCCCTAATATCGGCTGCCTTGGGCTGGCCGCAGGCTCAAGGACCTGCCTGCCTTCACCCCAAGCTAGACGAACTCGCATGCTGCAGAACCTTCAGTTCTTACGGGAGAAAAAAGCTGCTCAGACGTTTGTGTTTCAACCAAGATGCGTCGGCTGCTTTGGCATCCCCTTTTTTCATCTCCTGCTTGGCTTTCTTTACTCATTTTTGTGAATTGCTCTAAGCTCCTCAGGCTAGTGCCGTTATTAGTCATGCGATTTACCACTACTGACAGCATCAGTTTCTGTAAGAAACATTGATTGAGGCAGAAGGTGTGAACTTTTCCTTCCCTCCCCCACCTTCCTCTCAACAGTTTTCTCCACCTTCTCGATGCACCCCAGCTTACTACGGCATTTGTGGTCACCACCCCTCTCCCCAGCCGATGCCATAAACCGAGAGTCTTTGCAGCTAATCCAGGAGCTTTTTCTGTTCTCAGAGTAGGTGACAGCAAGGGGAGGTGGCAGGCGAGAATCACTGGGTACATCCCAGTTGCCCTTCTCTGAAGGAGCTGAAGGTCTACCTGTGACATTGGCCTTTTGCACGTTCAGGAGGGAACCTTTTCAATGAGCCGAGGTTTTCCCTGTTTCTCTGAGCTGCCACAAAACTCACTTTATGCAAGCACTCTTCATAAGTGAGCTTTTCCCTCCCCCCAGGCTAATTGATGGTTCACATGTGAAATGAACTTCCGAATCTGAGCTGGTGGCCAACAGATGCAATCCCACATTTTGCATTTCCCTGCTTTGAGCTTGCCCCTTCCTCCCTCGCTCACAGCGAGCGTGCTCTGGTTTTATTTCTTCTGTCTGTCCTGCTTCTTGTTTCTATTCCAGTCACCACTGGCAGTTCATACAGGCCAAATAGCTCTTAACATTGCTGGCATTGAGGGTGTTTTCTGTCGCTGAATTTAGCGAACAGCAGGCAGCCCCATTCCAGCTGGGGCTGTCCCACAGCTGCCTGCCGCTTAGGTTATTAGCAACAATTATTATTTGAATTTGATGGGTTTGTTTTGGTGAGGGACCTTGAGGAACCAAACTTTGTTATCTTTGGTCACACTGACTTTCTTTATCTGGTTCTGAACTGCCAGAGCCCGTTGTTCACTGTTTTCTGCAGCCAGAAGCTTGCTTTAGTGTTATTTTGGAAGGGTTTTTTTACAAGGGTTTATAGTCACTCTGTGGCTAGAAGGAGAATCATGGAACGAATGCGGTTTTTTACCTCTGACGAGGTCCTGCCCAGCTAGCTCCTAAAGACACTTACTGCTCAGAGCCAGGCAGTGAAGTCCTGCAGATCCCACAAAACCTTTCATCCAAGCTGTCCCTTGGTTTAGGACTGATGTAGCCAATCCCAAAAGACCTTAACTTGCCCTGAGTTTTATGCAAAGGCAAGAGCCAATACTGTCACTTAGGACAGTAGGGAACCATCCTGATTACTGAGTGCAGGAATAAAGTCACCAGCCGAGCAAAACCCTCTTTTGGGTTTATTTATGAGCTTGTTCTCCTCAGGAGTACCAGCATGTGGGCAGTCATCAAGGCAGTTGCAACAGCAAATACAGGCTATTACATATTGCATCATTTCAGGGACATTTTAAATCTTAAATTTTAATTGTCTCAGGATTTTTACCTCCTTCACCTACCCAACATCTTGTTTGTTTGCTTCAAAATACAGCCAGTAATGCTGCTCACCTTTGCCTTCCTCACCAGTGCCGACCGGGCTCCTGGACATCTGGTACCGACAGCAGGACGTGGACTCTCAGTGGCAGAACATCTCTCTTTTTTGGAAGGTAAGTTGTTCAAGCGAAACCTGAGCAGACGCAGTAACAAAGAGCAAGGTTAGAGGGGGAACCCTGGTTTACGTGTTTGCAGGAACGGATTGAACCCAGGGCTTGCCCCAGTGCCCGGTGACCAGGACACCGACCGGCTCTGCTACCCAAGGCTGGCCTCCCCCAGGAGATTCACCAGCTCTTTTCTACCTACAGTTTCCCCTCTTACAGTTCCCCAAACTCTCTGTGGTGCTGGAAGTTTAACACATTCCCAGCCCATCACATCAGTGAAGCGGCGGTATCGCAGCTCAGTTACCACCTTTCCAAGACACACGTTCCCTCCCCCTTCCAAAAGGCGACCTGTGTCCCTGATGATTTATCTATCAGGACAGAACACAACCTGACAGACTTCCTAATTTGTTTTGTAATTAGCATCTCCCACTCCTCATTCTCCGCCATATGTGGCCAGGACAGGAGCTCTGGGAGGCCAGGAGGACACCGTACCCCACGTTCTCCATCTGCACACACCTTGTGTGTCTGCTTTGGGTATCAGCTTCCTTCAGAGCTGTTTCTGCTCTGGTTTGCTTACCTGAAGAACCGAGCAATGAAGGATGGGGGAGGCAGAAGAGGCAATTTGCTGTAATAGCCCTTTAAAGTGACCCAACCCCAAAAAAACCCTAAGAGCTGGATGTAGCTTGGGCAACCGAACGGGTCCCATGGGTGTCAGCGCTGTCTGGATGGACGGTCGGAAAGCATTTCGTCATGCAGCAGCAGCAGCAGGAAGAAACTGCTTTTCTCTACAGGTGTGAAGCAAATGGTGGGCAAACCACATGCAAAAAGGGTTTGCTAATAATAAAGCTGCAGGCCCGGAACCAGACAGACTCCAAGTTGAAAAAAGTGGGTTGTTCGGGTCTGCTGAGCAGAGCCCTCTGTGAGCTGGGGGCTGGGACCCCACAAGGGAGGTTTCAAAAAGAATTGAGATTAAAACCCAGCTGTTGGGCAAAAATTCCACATTACTATACATTGTTATCCAAGGCTCGGCGGTCTGCTACACCAACATTCCCAGGGAAGCCAAGCCCTGTTACCGGTGCCGAGTGTCTCCCCACACCGACGAGTGCTGCGCTGTAAGTGAAAGCCCCATCTCTCGTATAATCGTGTGACTCCGGCTGTTGTGGCTTTAAGACATTTAACTTTAAGGCCTTTAACCTGCAGTAGCGAGCCGGTGACACTTTCTGTGCCGAAGCAGACTTCCTGCAGCAGCACCATTCATAAAACGGATGCACTACGTTGCTTTTATAGCTTTTACGACAGCTACAAAGCAAAAGACCAGGAGCAACGTACTAAGAATGTAGGTTCTCACATTTTCACACAAACACCAAGGGAAGGATCACCAATTTAGTTCCAGCGGGCTTGCAGAATGGTTTCTGCCCTGCGTTTCCCCCCCAGCCACTGCCACAGTGATTGTGACACTGCAAATTTTTTCCTGTTTTTAAATTCTTTTTTTTCCTCTCTTCCTTCTTTTGTTATGACAAAAAAAAACCAAACCAACCCAGCCAACCAAGATGAACTCACTGCATAGGAACTGTAGGAAACTGTGAAACTGATAGTACAACTGCAGGCACCCGGGGTGGAAAAAGAGTGAGACATGTTACACGGGACAGCACAGCCTGACTTCTCAGAGATGTGCATCCTAGGTGGTTGAAAATAAATAGTTCTTTATCATAGCTTTAAGAAAAAATATGGATTTTTCCCATAATCAAAGCTTGCTCATTTATACAAACCCAGCTGTGCAAGTTCCCCCCTGCCCTGTGAAAGGTATGGCTTGAATTCAGACTTGAGGAAGGAGGAGGCTGTGTGTTTCCCTGTCCCCAGCCTCGTTGCTGCTTGGAAAAATTGTCAGCTTGCAACAAAAGCTGCACTTTTTTAATTCACTAAACTGGAATTAAACAGGAAAAATAAATAAGAAATAAAAAGAAAGATATATAACCTTAAGAGAGACTAATGGGAAAATGCATGCTCTTGGCGTCAGGGAATTAACTCATTGCATGGGGCTAGATGCCACGGGTTCCCAAGAGCAATGATGGAGCTGGGATAAGGCTTAGGAATGGAGAGCACGGGTCACAGGGCTGGGCGGCAGCAAAATCAAAGGGAAAACTCAGAATGGGCTGTCAGGTGTTACACCTGTCACACAAACGGGCAAAACTGTGGGGAAAAATAGCCACCACACGAGCTTTCTTTGGAAAAACCATGATATTTCTAGCAATAAAAGTGCCGGTTCACTTATGAGTAGTATTCTCAGGCTGGTGCTGGTGGGTAAACTGCACTGCCTTTGAAATGCATCAGCTGTACTCCAAGCCAACAGATTTTCAGCTAATTTAACTTTTTTTTAAAAAACACCTTAAAGCAGTCCCAACCAGCGAGCAAGCAATCTCTACAGCACCACTTCTTTGCTCCGGCTTTTAGAGAAGAAAGTAAAAACCGGTAATTGGTTACCAAAGAACAATGCCCGGTGTGTGCTGTCATCCAGCAAGTAACACCCTCGCGGTAAATCACCTCAGTACTCTTAGAACAGGAAAGGAAGAGAAGAAATTGAGCAACCTGGTCTAGCAGAAGGTGTCCCTGCCCATGGCAGGGGGTGGGCCTGGGTGGGCTTTAAGGTCTCTTCAACCCAAACCACTCTGTGATTCTGTGATAAATTACCTTGAGTGAAAGCTCCTCACTTCAGCGGGGCAGCTCAAGCATCTGGGATAGGGAGATGCTCTGAAGCCATCCCTCCCTGCGGGCAGGAGGGCTGGTAACAAGGCTCCTCATTTCCTTATGACTGCCTCTAAACCTCACCTGCCGTGGGTCCGGGCGGGACGTCTGCCTTGGGAGCGTGGGCTGCAGGGGGGTGGGTATGGCAGGTGAAATATTTGGTTCACAAATGGCCAACCACCCTTCCCTCCGTGAGAGTCCGAATCCTTCCCGGGCAGCCTGCCAGGACCCCCCAGCTTGGTACCGTCAGCCTTCTGCAGCCTTTGCTCATCAGGAAAGAGTCCCAAATGCACTTTTCCTCGCAGGCTTTGAGCAATTCGGAGGCGAGAGGAAGAATCCTGCGGTATGTGGTGACCTTCGAAGCCCTGGGCCAGCAGACCCCCCCGGCAGGAGCAGCACACCTTACCACCCAAACCAGCTACGCCAGCGTCACGCCGAGGGTGGACTACAGGATAACAGTCACTGCCGAGAACTCAAGGGGCAGGTCCCCCCCTGCATCCGTCGTGACCAGCCTGGGCACCCGGGGTAAGGGATTCTGCTGGGTCTGGATCACTGGGAGTAACGCTGGTGCTCTGCTACGTGCTGGATGCTGTGGAAGCGTTGGGGTTCCATCGCCCAGTGCTCACCAAGGTCCATCCCAATGGACCTTCCGGGATCTGCAGAGCAGATTTTCAATGTGGTCAGGGGTGTGGTTTCACGACATGTTAAGTTTCCCTGCGTTAGTGCTGCCGTAATTTCACCTCAACCCCTTCTGCTGACACAGGCGTAAGCCACACCATCAGACATCAGGCACCCGACGCAGCAGAAAATTAACCACGTCAACCAAAAAAACGGGTTTGGGTTTTTTCTTTTGCACGAGAGAGGTGGCAGGACTGAAGGGAAGGTGATGGTGAGGGGAAATCGCACAGGCTTCACCTCCTGTGAAATTGCAGTGTTATACCCACACAGCAAAATTAAGAGTTCCCTGAACTCACCCAGCCCCGAATTTCCTCTGCTGGTGCTGGGCATGACAGAGTCTCTCGGTCTCAGGTGGTTTGGCCAAAGAGGCAGTTCTCAATTTGCTCAAAGAGGGAGTTCTCAATTTGCTCTTGTTTTACT